ATGGGTAGAGAATAGTGATGGGAGGGGAGGAGGGGGTGACAGGGAGGGCAGCAGAATACAACTGACACTAGGATTGCTGTATGTATACATATGGATGTATAACCAATGTGATCCTGCAATCTGTACACGTGGAAAAATGACAATTCATACCGTATTTGAATCAAATGTATGATATGTCAAGATCATTGTATTGTCTTGAGAAACTAATAAGAAAAAAATAAAATAAATAAAAAAATTTTAAAAAGATGACTCATGGAATTTAAGGTAAGGAGGAAAGTGACTGCACAAGGGAAGAAAAGATTACTGGATTTTAGGGGCTGAAGACTATAGAACTTAAAATATTAGAAAGAGTGATGAAATCTGTCAGTGGCAGTTAGAGTTAGGATGCTTGGCATTGAGATGATGGAGGGTTGGAATTATTAATAATGACAAAATCTAGTGTTACAGTAGGAGAAAGTGGCTAAGGTAGGATGCAATGATTACCAGACAAATGAATCTTATGGAAGAGGGTAGGGGAAGTAAAAGATGTTCAAGAAAAGGGGCAAGCATAGTGCCTGTTGGAAAATACTGTGGCACATTTGTGGAACTGAAAACTACCCAGGATGATCAGATCCGAGGAATAGTAAAGGTCAACTGCAGAACTAAGCCACAGATAGATCCTGGAGGGTTTGTAAGCATATTCAATTAGAAGATATTAAGTGATTTTTTACTTTTTTTAATGTCTAAAATGCAAAACAGCAATATAAAAATATAGAATGAAAGTAAAAAATGGAAATAAAGTAGCTTACTTAAGTTTAATTTTAAAGTTCAATTATTGAAAACTTGACCCAAATTGCCTTAAAGGTAAGCAGCTGTCATAAGATGCTTCTTCCAGGAAAATTCTTTTTTTTTTTCAAATTTTTTTTTTTTTTTTATTGGTTGTTCAAAACATTACGAAGCTCATGACATATCATCTTTCATACATTTGATTCAAGTAGGTTATGAACTCCCATTTTTGCCCCAAATACAAGTTGCAGAATCTTTTTTTAAAAAATTGTAAATGAAAATAAACTATATAAATAGAGGTAAAAAAATAAATAAATAAATAAAAAGTATTCTCAGTAGATATATGCAAGTTTTTACTAGTTATTGTTCTGTGTAATTTTATTAAAAGTAAAATTGAAAAAAAAATGAAGCTAAGAATTTTCTTGTATGTCATAAATTTCATGAGCACTGGTCTTTCCTAAAGTGCACTCATTATTAATTTTACTTTTGGGCATTCACATCATCCTATCTGTAGCATAGTATCCTTTCTCTAGATTAAAAAACTAATTTCAAAAGCTATTCAAGGATTACTATAGGGAAAAAATTAACAATATATAATTATTCATCCTAGAAGCTCAAGTGGTTGAAAAAAAATGTAAGTTTTAAAATATTGAAGATCTTTTGAATGGCAAGACTTAATTAAAGTCTTCAGAGTTTATTTTACAATTTATACTTTAAGATGATACAATATGGTGTATTATCAATGAAGTCAGGTTTTCATTTCCAAAATAAATATTGTAAAACTTAAAAAAAAGAAGATATTAAGTGTTCCAGATAGAGATGTTACGTTATAATATTTGGACTGTTTCCAACTTTTGAATATTATGAATAAAGATTCTATAAACACAGATTTTTGTGAGAATACGTGATTTCATTTTTCTTTCTGGGAAAAATGCCCAGATGTACATCTATTGGTTTACATAATAGATTCATATTTAATTTAGTAAGAAACTGACACACTTTTCAACATGGCTGAAACATGTTACATCTTGGCTAATGTTAAATTTGTGATCTACTTTCTCTGTATCCTTACTAGCATTTGGTGTTGTCACTATTTTTTTTATTCTAGTCTTTCTGACAGATGTGTGGTGATATCTTTCCATTATTTTAATTTGCACTGTGCTAATAAAAAATGATGTTGAACTTCTTTACATGTGATATTTTGCTATCTGCATATCATTTTCTGTTCATATCTATTTTTGTGTTTTACTGATTGTTTATTGGCCTTTTATGTTTTTATAGTGTTGAATTGTGAGAATTCTATTAAACATGTGGTTTGTGAATATTTTCTCCCAGGCTGTAACATATCTCTTTCCAATCTTTTAGTGGAGTGTTTTGCAGAGCAATATTATTTTTTTGGGGGGTGGTGAAGTCATTGTTTAAAATTTCCTCTTTATGGATCATGCTTTTAGCTTAAAGTTTAAGAATTCTTCACCAAGCTCTAGATCCTGAATATTTTCTTTTGTCTTATTTAAGAAATGTGTGTTTTTTACATTTAAATATAATTCCAAGATTAACTTTTATTCATTTTATTTATGAAGTAAAATTTGAGTTTAATTTTTATTTTTTTTATTGATATCTAATTGCCTTGGCACCATTTGTTCAAAAGACAAATGTTGAATTATTTTGTAGTTGTTTCAAAAATTGAGTATATTTGTATGTACCTATTATGGGTACTTTGTTGTGCTCCACTGATCATCCCTTTCTCTATACTATACAATCTTGATAACTGTAGCTAAATAATAAGCTTTGATAATGAGTAAAAATATTTCTTTTAATTTATTCTTCTTCAAAATTATTTTAGTTCTTTTCTCTTTACACATGAATTTTAGCATAATCTTATCTAGCTTTACAAAAATATTTCTGGAGTTTTGATAGAAATTATATTAAACCTGGATCCCAATTTAGAAAGAGTTGACATCTTCAATCCATGTTGAATCTTTCAATCCATGAACACAGCATTTTCTTTTATGACATAAATCTTTGATTTCTTTCATTCATGCTTTGAAGTTTTAGTGTGCAACTTCTGTACCTGTGTCATTAGATTTACACCAATATTTTAATTTTTTGAATGATTTTAAATTAAGTTGTGTTTTAAATGTCAATTTATTCATTCATATAAAATGAGATTGAGTTTTGTGTACTCGTCTCATATCCAGTTATGTTACTGAACACACTTATTTGTTATAGGAATTTCAATGTAAATTCCTTGGGGTTTTCTATATAGAGAAATATATAGTTTGAAAATAAGTGCCTTTTTATTCCTTCATTTTCAATATATATATACACACTTTCTTGCCTTGCTACATTGGCTAAAACTTTGCGATCTATGTTAAAAATGAATGGTGAGAGAACGTATTCTTTCCTCATTCCTAAAGTTAGGGGAAGGCATTTATTTGGAGGATTTTTAATAGATGATTTTTGCCAAGTTCACATAATTTTCTTCTATTTCTAGTTTGCTGAGAGGTTATTTTTTAAAATTTTTGTATCATGAGTGGGTATTGAAATTTTTCAAAAGATTTTCTGTCTCAACTGATATAATTTTAACTCTCTTCTAATATAATGGTTTTCACTGATTGACTTTCAATTGTTGAACCAGCCCTGTATACTGAAATAAATTACAGTTGGCCTGTATGTGTGTGTGTGTGTGTGTGTGTGTGTGTGTTTCTTTTTACACTTTTGAGACAGGGTTTTGCTTTGCTGCACACGTTGATCTGAAAACTGCTGGGCCCAACCAATTCTTCTGCTTCAATCTCTTAAATGCTGTGATTAGAGGTATGTGTCAATGTGCCCAGCTATAAGTTCATTTTATACATTGCATTGTTTACTAATATTTCACTGATAATTTTTTCTATTATATTCATTAGAGCCATTTTTTCAATAAGACTCTCTGACTGACCCAGCACTGTTTATGAAAAAGAACATCTTTTGGTCACTTCAGTGTTTTTGTAACAAATTATATGAATATTTGTGTGTGTGTGTGTATGTGTGTATGTATATGTGTGTCTTTGCTTTTGAACTTCCTATTATATTGTCATTTGTTTATTTGTCAATCATTGCACAAGGTCCACTATGTCCTACTTACTATAACTCTATTTTAGATGTTGATCTTGATATCAGATGGTGTGAGTCCCCAGCTTTATTTTGTTACTACAAGGTTGTTCTATCCTTTGCATTTCCATGTAACTTTTAGAATTTACTTGCCAATTTTGTTTTTTTTTAAATGTTCCAGGGGCTAGTATTATGGCTCAGTGATGGAGCACTTGCCTAGCATGTGTGAGGCACTTGGTTTGATGGTCAGCATTGCATATAAATAAATGAATAAAATAGAGGCCCATCAACATTTAAATTTTTTTAAATGTTCTGGAATTTTTATGGAAATTACATTGACTGTCTAAATTAGTTTTAGAAGAGTTTTAGTTGTCATTATTTTGTGTCTTTCAATCTGTTCATGAATATATAAAATTATTCCTTTCTTTTATATAATCCTTATTTTTTTAATACTCTTTACTTTTTCAGAGTGATGTTTTATGGTTTTCTGAATAATGGTCTTATAGAGATTTCTGTAGATTAATTCCTATGCATATGTTGTTTTTAATACTATTAGAATATCATTTAAATTTTATTTTTATTTTGTTGCTAGCATATAAAACATTACTGATTAGTGCTTAATATGTTCATATTATAGCAAAATACCAATTATATGGGAATATCATGTGTAAAAATGATAGTTTTCTTTCTTCTTTTATAATTTTAAAGTATTTTATTATTATTTTTTCTAATAACTCTAATTCTAATGCTATACATGAGATTACGGTCAGGTCCTATATATATAAAAAGTTCCCTTTATCCATACCTGATCTATTCATAATATGATGTTTTTATTATTCTAAAGTCATTTTATGGATGTACTAGGTATGTTGACCTTCCTTAATTGTGTTTTATGTAAACCAGCTTTATATTTTTTTTTCCAGTGCTGGTGATGAAACCCAGGATCCCTGGCATACTAGGCAAGTGCTCTACCACTGAGCTACATCCCATCATTTTGCTGATCTTAAACATTACTGATACTGTAGTTCACCCCTAGATTAATCCAAATAGTAAACTTGCTTAACTTAAGCCACACCGTTTAAAATTAAGCATTAGAAAAAAAAATAGCTAAGTATTTTTTTTTTTTTCATTTGCTTTCCAGAGTGATGGAGAATGTCACTACAGTGGATGAGTTTCTTTTACTCAGCCTGACCAGTGTTCAGGAGCTTCAGCCAGTCTTCTTTGTGATGTTCTTAATTATTTACCTGATCAACTTGGTTGGAAATGGAGCAATATTAATGATTGTGATTTTGGAACCCAAACTTCACTCTCCTATGTATTTCTTTTTGGGAAACCTTTCTTGTCTGGATATTTGTTATTCTTCGGTGACACTGCCCAAGGTGCTTATGAACCTGCTCTCCACTCGAAGGGCCATATCTTTCCTAGGCTGTATCACTCAGCTACACTTCTTCCACTTTCTGGGAAGTACTGAGGCCATCTTGCTGGCACTGATGGCCTTTGACCGTTTTGTGGCCATCTGCAACCCACTTCGCTACACTGTCATCATGAACCCGCAGCTGTGTGTCCTGTTGGCAGCTGTGACCTGGTTCTTTAGCTTCTTCAATGCTCTGATGCATTCTGTCATGACTGCACGCCTGGACTTTTGCCATTCTCTGAAACTTAACCACTTCTTCTGTGATGTGAAACCCCTCCTGGAACTGGCCTGTGGTAACACAGAACTCAACCAGTGGATTCTTTCTATTGTCACAGGGAGCGTATCCATGGGAGCTTTCTTCCTCACTCTCCTCTCCTACTTCTACATTATCGGCTTCCTTGTGTTGAAGAACAGGTCCTGCAGGATACTCCATAAGGCTCTGTCCACTTGTGCCTCCCATTTTATGGTGGTGTGTCTCTTTTATGGACCTGTGGGTTTTACATATATTCGTCCTGCTTCAGCCACATCCATGAGTGAGGACCAGACAGTGGCTGTCATATACAGTGCAGTCACCCCAGTGCTGAATCCACTGATATACACCCTTAGGAATAAAGAAGTGATGTTGGCTCTGAAGAAAATATTTGGGAGGAAGCTATTTAAAGATTGTCATTAGCACCTAGGGGACTAATGAGACTTATATCTGTTTTACATTAAGACTTCCATGGCTTTACTATAATAAATGATTGTTTACTTGATTTCTGTTTTTCTCTCAGGAATTTTGAGCATGCATCATATCATGCAGTGTAGTAAGTTCAACAAACATAGGAATGAATGAACCAAATTCCACAACTCATAAAAGTTAAATTTCAATGTGGTGGAAGAATATAATAAACATACCCATAAGTACACCTTACCAGGGTAATTACGACCAATGGAGACTAAAATAAAGTAGGTTGAAAAGGGAAAAATGACAGTAGGTACCTGATATATAAAAAAGAACTTGTCTGGTTTTGTCTTTGGTTCCTAGTATAGAGCTTCTAAAACCCTAGGAAGTTCCCAAGTGGCAGCAGTGTCTTGGTTATACATGAACCACCTGGATCATACTTGTTTATCCTCATATCATGATTTGTCATGGGCCCCAGGATATCTTAGGATGAGGGCTGACCATGCATGAGTGATTATCCGTGTCATTGGAAATTTGGGGCTTTGAATCATGGTGATAGTATCCTGACCTTCAGGAGAGGAGGAGGGAGGCTAGAGATTGAGTTTAGCTATATGGTCAATAATTCAATCAACTATGCCTATGTAAGAAAGCCTAAGTAGATACTTGACACTAAAGTTCAGGCATGCTTCTTGGATGGCAGTATTGTCCATAGTTTTGAACACCAGTGTGCCTGAAGGGTAATGTACCTTAACAAGACAGGAGGTGTGTGTTTGGGACCCTCACAGAGCTTACTTGATGTATCTCCACTTTGTGTTTTCTTTTCTGTTATAAAACTGTAATCATAAGTATATCACTTTCTTCAGTCTGTAAGTCACTTGAGCGTGTGCTTAGAGATCTCCAAATTTGTACCCAGATGTTCATGGGTGAGGATGATCATTTATAATCATGAAACCCACATTTATACCTGGAATGAGAACAGTATTTTAGAGGAATGTGCTATAACCTGTGAAATTTGGTCTAATTTCAAGTAGTTGTTATCAGAAGTCATTAAAGTCTGTCACTCTTCCTCTCTTACACAGACACCCTGACAACCAGGTTAGAGGGACCTCCCCCGTATGTGCACATAGGTGTACTCCCCCATATCCATAAACAATTTTAATTCTTCTACACTTTTCAACCATATGTGATTCTGATAATATGATGATGCTGGCCCACTGGCATGAGCTGCTTATTGGTGGAGAGAAACACTGTATTTCCTTAGAGATGCGATTAGCAGAAAATTTGTCCAACAAAAATGGATGAAATTATTGAAGCAAGCAGCAAAGTTGGAATGACAATCAGAGAATTTTGACCTACATGGTTTATGCTAATGACAAACTGATTATGGGAAAAGTTCTATGCAAACAAGTATGAATATTGACTGCTTGCTCTGTATCAGGAGTGGATGAGCTGAAAGATGTTATTAACTAATTCAATGGAAAAAAATCACAATTCCTTCCTCACTTAGTTTCTAGTCCTGAGCCAGTAATCAGAGTCTGTCAATTGATGGAGATGCAGGGTACTTGTGAAGGAAGACCTGCAGTGCCACAGAAAGAATATATAGTAACAAAATTTTTCCTAGTTTTTGTCCAAAAGGGAGCTTTGTCTGTTTACCTGAATGACTGCACACTTTGGAAAGAGAAATATTCAAGTCTTTTAGAAGCTTTGGTTACAAAGCTTTAACCAAGAAGGCAACAGATAGCACAGATTGTTTTTACGGTCTTCGGTTAGACTGGAGAGTGGGTGTTGCTGCATTAAGATCAGGTGATAAAAAGATCACTTTTCTAAGTCCACCTCACAGTGTGTTCACCATTTCCACAGGACAACACTAGCCATTTCTTGGTTTCTGACCATAGAACTGAGTTGCCTATACTTGGTAGTTGTCATGAGTGATTTGGTGAATGCATTATTTTCAGCACTCATTAGTAAGAAGGATCAGAAGTACTTTGTACTTTTTTGAGATGAACAACAGTCCACATTCACAGTCTTGTCTCAAGGCCATATTAATTCTCATATTAAGTCAGAGAATTAATAATCCAATGGGCTATTGGTCATCTGAAAATTGAGTCAAAAACATTACTGGATTACTAAACATTACTGGACTTATTGAGCTCGAAGGGGTGCAAGCTTTCATAAGAAATATGTACTCCACAGGCAGAGGGATCAACTCTCTTCTAACTGGTGAAGAGTTTCAAAGTGTAGAGTCATCTGGAGAATGTTACACATACTTTTTAATGAAAAAAACAAGTCATCAAATATGGCACCTTCTATAACCTACAGACATTTTTGAGTTCTGGAGGCAGCATAAGTCATATTTAGGAGTACTTTTTTAGCCCATTTATTGGATACTTAGAAGACCATAAACATTGAGTAGAGCCCAGAATCAAAGAGAGATTTTCAGGCAGTCCAGATTCTACACAAGTGACCATATTGCATAGAGTGATAAGATCTAGGAGATTCCACAGTACTAGTATTATCTGTATGGATAAAAATTCCATGTCCTATCCCAGGAAAGAAAGCAGGAAGGTTTGATCTTGGTCAGCTGTTGTCCTTCAATTGCCAAGTGCTTCAACTTTAAGTGACAAATGGAGTATCTGTGGGGACAAAGAAAGAAGCTATATGTGGGCCCATTTCCATAAGCTATATCTCAGCAAGGTAATCTAGGTACTACTCCCAAGTATATGACCTACCTGAAAGCAGAGAGAACAAGCTTAGCTTTGGTTTCTTCCTACAAGGTTTGTGTCAGCACCAATTTCTGATGGCTCAGGGAAGGTCTGATGTGTATTATAACACTTCACAGCAAGGAACTCACGTTTCTATGTAGTTGCTGGTGTTATCAATAGATATTATTACTTTGTTCCTGCTACATAGTTGAGAATATAAGAAGGGATGAAAGTACAAGTGGCCCATAACATTATTACTTATTTTCTCTTGGGTGCTTTGTGCCTCTTGTCTTGCAAGTTTAAGTTCAATGAAAGCAGAGGTTCTAAGAATGACAATGTTTCCACCAGCAGATACAACATGATTTCACTAACCCCAAAACTATAGATGTTATCTAGTCAATTTTTACTATTCATATGGTGTATCAGCAGACAAAGAGTTACCATAATGATAATTGACTTTAATTGTCAGAGGTGATAGAATTACTACTGCATAGTGGGGATCACAGCAGTATACTTGAAATCAGGGGACCCAGTGTTGAATCACTTGAATTTCTGGTGTGAGGTTTAAAGCAAGAATGACAAAAACTAGCATCCATAGAATAATAAGGGAAAAATAAATAGTGGTTCAGGTCCTTTGGATTACAAAAATAATAAAATAAGATGAAAGCCTAGATAAACAGGAGTGCTGGCATGGTTAAGGGAGTTTAAATTAGTGGTATAAGAGGGAAATTATAACTATCATTAATGACCTAAGGTTCATCTGTAGGAGTGAAGGCTGTCTTTCTACCTACATGCTCTTTTCTGTTAGTGATTATTTTCCCCTAGAAATTGGTGCCTTATCTATATTCTGAAGAATAAGTGAAGTTAAAATTAGGATCTTAATATGTCTCTGAGTGATTCAAGTGGAGAATATGGCAAATTCTATTAATTCTCTCCCTATATTCTTTCAGAAATTATAATTATTAATAACACCATTTTGCTTTTTTTTCTTTTACTCTCAATATCCAGTAACTTCATTTTTTTTAATCAGAGGATATACCATGGAAATCCAGAATCTACACTTCTTTTACATCAAAAGGGATGGACATGCCTGTGAATTTATCCTCCATAAGAGATAAGCTTTAAATAGTGAGTGACAATGTGGGATATAAAAGCTTCATTTCCTGATAGGACAACTTTGGGATATGACTCAAACTGTCACTAGAGGGATTTTGTATAATTTTGCTTTATACTAGACCCTGTATTGGTCTATTTTATCTTTGGAATCTTTCTAAGTTTTCTCTGAAAACATTTGCTAATATATAACTTTCTAAATTTGAACACAGAATGCATCTTGACGTGGCACCAAGTTGATTATGGTTAGAATGCGGCAGGCGGAAGAAGGTCCAGCTTCATCTCAGGACATGTCTTTGTGATTTTTAGTTAAGTCTATTGAGGAATAATTTACATATAATAATGTACCCACTTTAAGTGTACACTTTGATGAAATTTGACAAATATATACTTTGAGGGAACTACCATCTCAATCAACATTTAAAATATATTTTTTTAAATACTGAGAAGTTTCCATATGCTTCTTTGCAATCAACCTCCTAACCTACCCCAACAGAACCTCAGGTGGCCACTAATCTGCTGTCATTATAAATTTGTTTTGCTATTTTACAACAGGAAATTTATATTTGGGTTCTTTCATTCAGCATGATGCTCTTGAGATTTGTTCATGTTGCTACTTTTATTAATCATTTGTCATTTCTAAATTTTTATACTTTTATTTTTTTGTTAGAAAAAGATCTAAGGGCAAAATCAGGGAACACATAAGTAATAATTGCAGGAAGCAGTTGCCATCTAGAGCTAGGCCAAAAAATAAGGGAAAAAGAGACCTGCAATAAAAATGAAGACACGTGGAGGAGAAGCACAGCAGAGCTAATGTACACAGCTCTACCAGGGACTGCACCCAGCTTGGATTGCTCATAAGGAACTTGGAAGAGGTCCCTGTTGTGATGAGGGCAGCAACAGGAAAATGTTATTAAATTGCTTTCAATCTACTTTTGTCCTCAGAACTTCACTGGTTATTCCTATTAGAAGAAGTTTATGCAAAATCAAATGGCAAATAATGAAGTTTTCAGAACTCAATCCTAAGTATCACACAACATAGAGAAATGTAGCTCTAGAGCACAGAGACTATAGTTAATCAATCATCACAGACTCTTATATTTCACAGGTACAGGTGTTACCTGACACACTACTGCACCCTGGGAGAAGAGGCTAGGCTCCATTGCGTTCATCCACAAACATTTGTAGTCAAACTGTTAGGAAAACAGGTTTTATTCAAAGTTGTCTTTGAAGGAAAATAGAAGAAATATTTTTATTGTTGTTGTTTCAATTTTTCATTTTAGGAATTTTGGGGGGTGAGGAAAGCTTTTGAAAGAGAAGAGGTGGCAAAGTGAGAGGAAAGATAGGAAGTGTACATATGCAGATTTAGTTAGTGTGTATTAGGCAGGATAGGACAGGGAGAAATCTCTGTTATTAGCTTCCTTCCAGTCCCCCAGGCCAGGATTCAGCCTGTTTAGCTTTCATTTTCAATATGAGGAAGTGAACCTCAATTTTAGAGGGGCCCTTAATTTCAGTCTGTTTCACAGGTAAAGAATAAAGCATACAGAATTGATCTGCAATTCATTAACACTTCTACTCAGAACCACAACCACTTTGGCTCTTTTATCTTTGGCAAAATTAAGATACATTGACAAGATTAATTTTGAGCAGATTAAAAAATTTTGCAATCTTTCTAGGAATGAAAAAAATTGAAATATTGGTGAGTAAGCAGTGTCTACCACAGTCCTCCCTGAGCTGAAGTATTTCTCTAATTCTGTGTCAGTCTAGGAAAGCAACCCATGCTATTCAAACCACTTTGAAAACAGGCTTATATCTTCTTATGGAAGGGAAACCAATAGAAAAAGGACAATCAAGAAATGATAAGGAAGAGATTAGAGACTTTGATGCTGTTGGAGAATCCAAGGAGCTCTGGATTCTTGGTTTGGATCACACTCTCAATTATTTTTTAAAAATTATTTTTCTATAGATATAAGGTGACATTAAATATGAAAAACTATATAAAACACATCTAGTTGAGCAAAGCAATACACTTCTAAAACGCAAACATAATAAGGTAGAAGAGTGAGCACTGACAGGTTCTGGATGGTATTTAGTGGGCATGTTAGTCAAGATACTGCATCTATTGTTTAATAGATGGAGTTACCCAAGAAGTGGGCATGGCTGGACTCCAGGATGCCATAAAAAGCCACTGAAGACATCTATTGAAGTGAATACTTAGTGAACACAATGATCAGGGGATTACAAATATTCGGGGATCTTTTGTCCTACATATCTGACCTCCTTCCATAGCTAGGGGGACATGGTCTTGGATTATCCTGATATTGAAGACTTAGGATTATCTTCAGTATAGTAAACATTTTAGTACCATTTTACCATTTTATATGTAACTTATGTTTTTAGGCAGTATTTAGTAATGAATAATGGAATAAAAAAACAGTAACATAGTAGGGTCATGTTTTTTTTTTAATTCTCTTTAAAACCAATGAATAATCAAGTAAATTGTAGAACAACAACAGGTGTACTAACCCTGAAAATAAACAGGTGGAAACAAGGCCAATTAAAAATATGTCAAGAAGAAAGGTCTGTGGGGCTATTCTACTGGGATCATTATAAAGGAAGTATTTATAGCTATGAATTTCTTAATGTATACCAGAAGGGAAATTTCATTAGTAGCACAGAGGCACTAAAATAAAGTTTGCCTGGTGGTCAACCCCAGCACTCACGTTAACTTAAGTTGGACTTGTGGATGAAGTCCCTCTGAATGGGATGGTGTTGGAATAGCTTTCAGTCTCAGCTAGCAGTTATGAGCAGCTCAGAAGTGCTTGAAATATCCACCTTCCTTCAGGCCTGACAGGAGCACCTGCAGGATGGGTTGAAACCACATTCTCAGCACTTGTGGTTAGCATTGCCAAACTGCCCGGTCAGGAAACTGAGAGTCAGGGCCTTCAGGGCATAAAACCTCTGATGCAGGAAGGGCTAAAGACCCTTCCAGATTGCTTTCTGCCATGACAGAAATATTTAGAGTTTCCTCACAGTGTGGTTATGTTAGGCAGAAGATGATTGGATTATGGATAATGTCTTGCTTATGTATGATTGACAGGCATGCCCCATTCGAACCCTATAACAGTTGTGTGCCTTCCAAAATAAAAAGAGCTACTGGATGTTGACCTGAGGCTTGTCTCCAGCCAGTTCTCTCACCAGATCCAGGAGTCTATGTGTTGATTATGCATGTCTACTCCTCGCGACAAGGCAGCCAAGTGACCATTGACCACAAAGAGACTCAGGAACACGTTCAGGATGGTCATCATAACAGTAACTGAAAGGACAAAAACAACCCTGCTCAACATGAAGGAGGAGTTAAGTGTCAGGATGGTGATGATTGTCGAAGGTGGACACCCATTTTCTTGGCAACATCAAACAGTAATAAATTTGGAAGAAGCAATATGTTTCCTCCACCTGGATACAATTCACTCTCTCTTGTGAGTGTTTTTGTTGTTGCCTGAACTTACTTCACTTAAGATAAAATTCTCTTGCTTGTCTTTTTGTGTCTGACTTTACATTTTCTTTTGTTGGAACACAAGTGATGAGAGTTGAAGCTTCCTGTCCCCATTTACTCATGACAACTTTGTGTACCTTAAATATATAAATACAATATTTAAAAAAAAACAATTGGGTTTGGAATCGGATTCTATTAATAACTACCTGCATAATCTCAGATAAGCTCCTTGTTTTCTGGACTTTTTATTTTTTAAATAAATGGGGAGAATCCTTTCTCACAAGATTTCTGGAAATACTAACATAAAGGTATTTTATATAATACAAAGTGCTCTGCATTGTTCACATAAATATTTTTGTTAAAATTGTGACAAAATTTTGTTAAAATATTATTAAGGTTTATGTGATGTCTGAGTCTCTTAGTTCTTTCACAAAAGACTATGACAAGGACAAAATTTAGTCAAGCTCTTTGTTAGATTCTAACAAGGATAGACTCTAATCCAGTTTCCAGTAATACATTTCTCATTTCTGCCTGACAAATCATCATGATAGGCTTTACTGTTCATATTTCTAACACCATTCTGTTCATGACCACTTAAGTAGTCTCTGAGAAGAGAGGATTTCCCTACAACTCTTCTCTTCTGAGCCTGATTCCTCACTGGAATTGCCCTTAATGTTATTATTGTCAATCTCACCTTTTGCTACATGTACCTCAAAACCTTTCCAGCCTTAACCCTCTACCCTGCTTCAAAGCTATTCCACAATTTTAGCTGTTTGCTATGGAAATACCCCACTCTTGGCACCCATTTCCTTCTCAGTACATTTGTGTTTCTGTAACAAAATCTTTGAGACTGGGTAATTGAAAACAAATGCATTTTTTTCCTTCTTCTGTTTTGGAAGGATAGGAAGTCCAAGATCAAGAAACTGGAAAGTTTGATGTGGATGAAGGCTGCCCTCTGCTTGCAAAATGTCACTCCAGAGGAGACAAATGTGTGTCATCACATGGCAGAAAATTGGAAGGGCAAAAGGTATTAGGACTCCAGCCACTAAGGTCATTCACGAGG